AAGATTATTTCGATAGAGCTTCCCTCGCTCATAAAGTACAGTACTTTAAATCCAGCTGTTCCGAAAAATTATAAGATTTAATTTTGCGAATTTTATTTTTTACGATAACTTTTATAAGTAAAAATAAAGATATGTATGCAATGTTCAAGTAAAAGTACAGAAACGTGCTATGCGTTTGTTTCAAGTGAGTTTTTCCATTACAAAATCTTGTGATGACGTCATCAGCATTTTTCCAAGGACATGTATATCAATTTACTAATAATAACAGTACTGCATTCCCAAATTTTCGAGACAATTGAATGAATCGAAAGTAGGAACTCGTAATTAAAAAAAAATAGTGATAACGCTTATCGTAACTGTACACGTGAGAATCAAACAGTGAAACTAAAGTAAACGATATTTTCTTGCAATAACCGGCTCACAGTGCGATGGTCCAGACTTTTTTATTGCTTCGGCTTCCACTTATGAAATAAAACATTGCATTTAGTTTTGATTTTCGATCTTATAATTCACATTTGGTTAATTACAACTTGTTTAGGACAAAGGAGACAAAAAATGGGGTGACTCGTTCTTAATTTGATTAATAAAAATTAGAAAATGATTAACTTTATTAAATTTACTTTATCTAATGAAAAACAGGGTGTAGGGTGGTTAGACAGACATATTTTGATTAAAAATTTTAGCACACAAAGATTCTTTTTATATATTTTTTTCTGAATTTCTGTTTTTCACGAGGTAATTTTGTAATTAAAACATCATTCTTCTTTAAATTTGGAGATATCAAGTTTCCATTTACATATATCGCACTCCGGCGAGAATAACGTCACAACTAAAAAAAACGTGATGTTGAGTTAATACTCTGGTGAGATGTGTGTAATTATTATCTTCAAGGTGGAAAAGTGTCATTTGTCAACTAGCAAAACACACCAATAGAGGGCAGATATGTCGTTTTTCCGCTTGACAGATTTTACGTTACATCAAGCAAGAATAGTGTCACTTCTGAGTTCGTACACGAAATTTCATGACGGTTAGTCAAGAAAAACGACACAACTTAAAACAGTACCCTTTTGTTGCAGGAGGTAAGTTAATCTTTAATAATTCTAAGTACGTCCGAAGTCTAAAAGTGTCACTTTTATTTTATAAATACACAAGTAAATGATTCATTTTCAACAGAAAAGATAATCAACTTTTGAGATAGAACAATTATTGTACTTTGGACCCAATTTTCAATTGATCACTATTTCCCTTAATATTTTTCTTAGAAAATGAGTGTCACGTTGTTTTATTTCGTGTTGAGTCAATTTCTAGTTGTGTTTCGTTGACATTCGTAAAGTTTGTAGAATTCAGAGTTGTGTAATTATGCTTGATGCTCTGTATTCATTATTACAGAATTGTAATAGTTAATTGATTATGCATTTTGTTTTCCTTTAGACCAATTATTATGACTACAAGAGGGAAAAAAATTGTCAATGCTGCTCTGTTACAAATGGAATTAGCAAATAGAAAAAAAGATAAAGGTGAAGAAAACATCAACAGTGAACACACAATCGATGAAATACGTTTAGAACCCGCTTTCGACGACATGATTGACGATATTGCCAAGGTTCAAAACGAGATTGGAGAAGCTGCAAAAGATGAAGCTGAAAAGCGAAATAAAACTGAAGTAAACAAATTCTGTAAAATGTCACCGGAAAAATCCTGTGAAAGTACAATTTTGAATGTAACAAAAAATCTAAACCAGATTGAAAAAACAAAAGGTTTACAGACTGCAAGTGAGAATGTTAGGAAGTTTAGTCGGAATAAAGAAAATAGGAGTCCAATCGATCCTCAGAGTCCTCAATGTTCATTTTGGAAAAGTTCCGGTATTAAACATGGAACAAAATTAAAGTTAAAAAAAATTACGAAAACCGGGAAACAGCAGGCATTTGAATCCGATGACTTTTTCTCGGCAGAAAATGGTGATGATTCAGACGCAGACCCGGATTTTAATGGTACATCAAATAATTCTTCAACAAGCGACAGCAGCTTCTATGAAGAGAAGAAACTGACGGAAATAGGACATGAACGTGGAAAACGCAGTACGGCTGAAGATGTAGTTGTTGAGGAAGAAGTTAGAGTAGTACTCAATGAACTAGCAGAAAATCAAGATCTGCCAAAAAAAACGAAAAAGAGAAAAGCAAATCTAACAGAGTGGAAAAAAGAAAAAGCAAAAATTCTTAGAAACAGCGGAAAAGGTTACCTTTCATCTGCAAAAGTTCCAAAAGAAGTAAGAGGGAGGGCCATTCAGCAACCTTGTGGCGACAAATGCAAAGTAAAATGTGCAAATAAGATCAGTCAGGATATGCGACAAAGAATATTTGATCAGTACTGGAATCTAGCAAATCTTCAACTGCAGCGAGAATACATCTCCAAAAGTATGAATGTTGTTCGGCCCGCGTATAGGTACCCGAGAGAAGGAAGTCATCGAGGTTTGAATCATGCTTTCTATTTCACAATTTCTGGAAAACTCATACGTGTCTGCAAAATGTTTTTCAAGGCTACACTAGATATAACCGACCGGCCAATCAGAACGGTAATTAAAAAAAATACTGATGGTTTTGTAGCTGCTGACCAAAGAGGGAAACATGGAAAACATAGAGTATTAAATCCTGACTTGGGAGCGAGCATTCGTGAACACATCAATAGTATACCCAAAATAGAAAGCCACTATTTACGAGCCCAAACCACAAGAGAGTACATCGAAGGCGGAAAAACAATAGCAGGATTACATCGTGACTACATGGAGCAATGCATTCAAAACAACGTTTCTTATGGAAATTTGACACAATACTCTAGGATTTTCAATAATGAATTTAATTTAAGTTTCTTCACTCCCAAGAAGGATCAATGCGAGCTCTGCGTAGCTTATAACAATGCCCAAGATGCAGAAAAATGTGAACTCAAAGAAAAGTATGAGACACATCTCAGAGAAAAAGAACTGTCTAGAGAACAGAAGAGAAAATACAAAGAATTAACAGCAGTAAATAAACGTATTATACTGGCAACCTATGATCTCCAAGCAGTTCTACCCGCTCCACGTGGAGAAGTTTCTGTTTTCTATTACAAGTCCAAAATTAACAGCTATAATTTCACAATTAGTGACATGCAGTTCAAGAATGTCGCATGTTACTTTTGGCACGAAGGAGAGGCGAACCGGGGTGCAAACGAGATCGGGACATGTGTGATGAATTATATAAAACAGACAGCTGAATTACATAATGATGAAAATGTCGAAATGATCTTTTTTTCCGATAATTGTTGTGGACAACAAAAAAATAAATTTATTATAAGTATGTATTTGTATGCAGTTCAAAAATTTACTGTTAAATCGATAACCCACAACTTCCTAATAAAAGGACATACTCAAAATGAGGGCGACAATGTTCATGCTGTCATTGAAAAATCTGTAAAACAAGCTTTGAAGTCAGGACCAATATACCATCCAATGGAATATGCCAGAATAATCCGCTCAGCTAAAAAAACAGGTGTACCTTACAAGGTAATGGAAATGTCACATTCAGATTTTACAAACCTGAAAGATCTTGCGCAGCAGATTGGGCCTAATTTTAGCAAAACTACTGAAAACGAATCTATTAAAATGGGTGACATTAAGATCATCAAAGTTTTGAAGGACGAGCCTGGTGTGATTTATATAAAAACATCGTATGAGCAGGAGTTTTTTAAGAAAATAAATGTTTTTGGTAAACGAAAGCATCCAGTGAATTTCACAACGCTGAATTGCAAACCAGCATATTCAAGAAAAATTAATATTCCCGACAGAAAAAAAACCGACATACAGGATCTCATAAATGGGAACCACATTCCTAAATTTTATGAAGCATTGTATAACACAATTTTAAATTAATGGTTAAATTAGTAATTTTAATATAAGGATAAGGTGTTATTATAACTTTTTCACAATAAAAACGTGTTTTTTACGTTTTATAAATATTGTCATAAAATCTTTCACAACCTTCCCTCCATTAGGTATAACTTGACAGTGATAAATTTAGTTTTTTTTTTTAAAGTGCTGCAGAAGATGATAGAGTTTTGAAATATTGAAGCGAGAAAACTGACACAACTAGAAAAGAAAATGTCACAAGTCAGAATATAGAATATTGTTAAGCAAGAAAAGTGACACAACTCAAAGTACCTGGCTTATTCTACCCCTGGGAAACATCTGGTTAGGAACAATTTTTATATTGTCTATTATTACTATAGTAATAGTAGAATTATAAATGATTATAATAGCAATTGAGCTCCCAGAATCAATAAATGCCTGGTAAGCGCGTTTACAGTTTAAGCAATTGGATTTTAGCTAATACTGACAATTTATGTTTTTTTAGATGTGACGTTATTCTCGCCGGAGTGCGATATAATAGTTATTCATTACCTAATAACAATAAAAAAGGAGTATTAATTATAGTTTGCAATTGATTTGTTATTAATTAACAACAAAAATATGTTAAAGTAGCAGTATCTAAATGATATTGTATCAAAGTTTTCTAGAATTAACTCACTTGTCATAAACAAAACCAAAAATACTTTTGATTCTATTTTATTTTTAAGTTCTTTAGTCTTTATATTATCTTTGTTTTGTAAAATATTATACATTGTAAGAATCAGAAATAATATTTTTGGACGTTTCATAGTTTAACGTAAATCCTTTTATTTTACAAACAAATTTAACTGTGTTAGTCATATAACAATAACTCTTTGGACCCATACATCCTTACCTAATTCATCCGTCCAATCTCCCAATAGACATCTTGTTTTGACAGAGAAAACCCATAGGCGTCGTACCAGGGGTGGCGTATGGGTTTACGTCTTAACAATATTGATTCTATGGTATAATAGAAAATAATCACCTAACGCCTAAAATACAAGTTTATTACTACAACACAAAAAAAAATCACTGACGTTACATTTGCGTATATTTATTATCAAATGCTAAGGAGCATATGGTGAAGAGCACGACGGTGCAGGTATCACCGAAGAAGATGAAGCAGGCGTTGCCGACGAAGACGTCCGAGGCGCCGAAGACGTCATCAATGAACTGCAAGACCTGCGGGAAGTTGTGTTCATCGTTGCAGAATTTAACCTTGCACATGAAGACGCACAGGGAGTTCGTGTGCGGGACCTGCTGGAAGATCTTCTACTCGCAGCTGATGCTAGAGAAGCACGTGAGAGAGAGTTGCGTCAAGTCGCCGCAGACCAGTAGGAGGGCGATGCGGGTTAAGGGAGACGCGGGCAAGAGGTTGCAGTTGACGCCTCCGAAAGCAAGCACGACAAGTGTCATTAGTCCCGGGAAGAGGATCGTGGATAAGAAGGGGATGCTTAATTTGAAGCTAAAGCGTGAGCAGTGTTCAATGTGCTTTAGCAGTCATCGAGAGCTGTTTAAACATAAGGTGCTGAAGCATGGGCTCGAGACGCTGGATAAGTTCGTTTTGGAGAAAGAGGAGACCCAGCGGGTGTACAAAGGGGGTGTTCCTGCCGGCGAAAAGAAGTTGCTTAAGAGTTTTGCCGGATTGAGAAGTTTGTTGCCGATTAATGAATAATTTTGCCATTTTGTAGGTTCTGTAAATAGGACACTGTTATATATTGTATTTTAATAAATTTTTCCACTAGTAAAACATTTTTAGACAATAATTTCGTATCCTAGTCTTTATGTAAATAAACATATTGATAATTTAATGAACATAATACATGAACAATGAAGACAAAACAATATAAAATAAATCATGACAGATGAAAATACCATACTTTGCCATTATAACGAAGGGAAGCAACATCGACGAGTGTTAACACATACTTCAGTTACATAGCATAACGTTTGGTCCACTTTCGGGCGACGCTATCGTGCTCTTTGCGGTTCTGAAGATACTGCGTGGCTATACTCGTCACCAATGGATCCTCTGGATTGCAGTCAGCTAACAAAGAGCTGATGGATAGCAGAACTTTGGAAATGGTGAGGGCGGGCGACCAATTATCGCTCAATATATCCAAACAAATCAAGCCCTGACAGTTGATATTGCAATGGTAGATCCTCGTCTTGAACGTGATTTTCGGCGGTTTGAACGGGTACACTGGCGAGAAGTGTATGTCCAAGAAGAACACACCACCCTCGTAGACCGACCCCGACGGGCCCATAATCGTAGCCACCCAGTGGTACAAGTTCTTCTCCTTCTTTGGTGCGGCACTGCAATTTGGAGGTGGGTCCAGATTGATTTCCACGAGCTCTTTCTGGATCCTCTTCGCCGACGTGGCCATTGATGCCTTCGACATCTTCAGGTTCGTCCTCGACTCCTTGTCCGCCTTCTGATCCCTGCCTCTGCCGCGACCCGATCCGCTAGGCCCCACTGAAGACATTGTGTTGCTGTACTTTTGCACTAAAAACTTAACACAATGCACTCTCTTTTCACTAATATTGGCCCCTAGCGGATGAGTACTCAGGGTTGTCACTTTACTGTCGGAGAAACGTGAAAGCAGTCTCACTAAACAAGGCAAAAATTCACGGTTTTTACCAAGTCGTGCGTCGATAAAAGCCAACCGGCGCTCGTTTTTTCAGTACAAAAAACTGTCTTCTGCTATATTTAAAATCTTATACCTCTACCACGACCTTAGGGAATGTTGATTTCTCTACAAGAAAGCATCATTTTGTTGATATTTATTTCTTGGTTTGAAGTTATAATATTACTAAGGTTATTCAATACAATTTCATTGCCAAATCCTGTATGAACAGAATGCCGCAGCTCATCTGACATAATTCGACCTGCATTAAAACACCTTGTATGAAATTTGTTCTATTTTTAATTCATTCAGACCTTCCGTAAAAATTCACATTTTTTCAACTACTATCACGTTGTCTAATTCCACGAATTCTCTTGTTAATATCACTTTATAATTAATTTCATGATTTTTATATCTTGCATTGAATCTACCAGCTTTTTTGAATCGTTTATTAAGTATTATAAATTTTGAGGAAGTCAAATCTTTTTCTGAAAAATCTTCATTCTTCAAAGGCATCATCCGGACTCGTCTTGCTACACAACAAATTTTTGTCACCAATCCTTTGTATTAATTGCGATTTGTTCATTTTTGAATGACTTTTGACATGATTTTCTTTGACAGTCTTTCTTAGTTCTTTCAACATTTGTTTCGGGTATGATTTTACAACTAAGGATTCATTCTCTTTTTTTTAATAATTCTTTTAAACTAAATGTTCTGATTTCGTTGAGAATGGGCATTTGACACATTATGGGAAATTCGATTTATTAGATCTATCTTTTTACGCTTCTTTGGCATTGACAGACTTAACTCCAAGTTTTTCAGCAGTCGATTTTAATTTTTTAATATTAATAAGTCTGCTTAATTTATTAAACCAATCGTCAGCTTGGAGCTCTTCTATTAGAATTAGCAAAATTATTGCGCTTCCGACTTCCGTAATGTATAATTGCAAGAAGAACTGCCCCGGAATCGACTAAAAACTAGGCAAAAGACCTGTTGAAACAATGTTCAGTGTATTCCTCTAGATGATCAAGTTTCAAAAAAGGAGCAATAATAATTTTTAGCATGTTCCCAAAAGTGTGTATTCTAACTGGTTGTTTCGAACAACTATTTTTTTTTAATGAGACATAAAACCGACCATGGTCAGTATGGTTCGGACGCGTTACAATTTATTTTTGAACAAGCTGTACAAAATTTAATCCTAGAATATCAACTGATGTATCGAAAAATTCTCGTGAAATGTTGGTTTTTGTATTTGGTAATACAACTCGAAAAACTTGGGCTTCATTTATTACGTTGTTCATACATAAATCCTTCAGTTCTTCCCTCCTACATCCTCCAGTTACACCAATAAGCATTGTTACCTACGAAACAATATTTAGATAATAGTTAACAGTATATTACATAACAAGAGTGGTAAGTCGCCCATTCCACACGATTTTCGAAGTTTGAGCCACGAGCGATAGCGAGTTTTCTACTCTACTTTTTCTATGACCACTTATCCTCTAAGTAAAAGAACATTTTTTTAATTTTAACTAGATTTATGTCACAACACTATGTGCTGAATAGTTAATAGTCTGATTATAATGTGACCTAGATGCCTTGTTATTTTGTTATTGGAGGTGGACGGACCGGACTCTGTGTTGACCATACAAGGAGATTTTAATATCGAATTTGTTATTATTTTATTTTTATTTTCCGACGTTGAAGGGTTGTTATTTATCGCACTTGGAAAGAAGGGCGAAGATTCATATATTTTTTGCACATTGGGTAAAATGTATTAGACACTACGAAAGAGCGTTGTGTTTTGGTTTTAAGATTGGGAATTTTAATGATGAGTGAATTTCCAGTCTCCTCCACGTCACCAATTTTTATAGTTTTCAATTTTTGCTTCTGGCAGGCGCCACTTACAGCAATAATACAAACCACCTAAAATAAACACGTGAAATAATTGAAACTAGAAATTAAAATACATACTTTCATAAATAAATCTTTGCTATCACAAGCATTTTTCAAAAAATCTTGAACTTGTTGTGGACTCAATTTTCGCGATTTTTTACTTCTAAACCCTTCAGACTTTCTCTTGAGAAAAGCAATTAATTTGGGATATGCAGCTATTTTTAGATTGTGGTTAATACTAACACTAACAGTTGCTCTCAACATCGAATATATGGCCCATAGTGAAGATTTCATTTTTTTGGATAACTCGTCAAAATAAGGGAGTAAAACGTTTTCCGAAAAAGATTTAACGTTATGGTATAACTTCCAATCCATGAATTTTCAGTTGTTTCCCATTGGGCAAAAGATTGTTATTGCCAGTGTTGGCCAGCTGGATTATCTCAAGCGGTGTACAGGAATCATCGTCGCTCGACATTTTATCATCAAAAATTAAGCTACAATAAAACCCAATCATAAAAAAACACCATAACTTAATTTATATTTACCACTGGTTATTACACACGGTTTTGGGAACTGTGTGTAAGGTGATCTATACGTGACTTGACGTGTGTGTTACGTTGAGTTTAATATGATAGGAATAGAAAAAAAAGTCATTAAAGGAGTTCTATCTTCTGCTTCTAGAAGAAATTTTGTGATATCCTGCTTGGTAAAAATTCTGGACTTTTTCATCATGTGTTTTGTTAATATCGACTTTCTTCTTATGAATAAAACTCTTCAAAGCTTCGAGTAATGCACAGCATACTTTTAACTTAAAAAAATAATTCATCACAAAATTCTAACTGTTTTCTTAATTTATGTCACTGATTCAGATCTTCGATCTGTGCCTCGTTTGGTAACGACTAGTATCATAATGATTGGCGTCACGATTCCTATACATATAAGATAAATAACTATATCTCCACCAGTTAAATGATTATGTGATCTCAAAGTATCATCAAATATTTTTTTGATAAATATTATATTCCTGTGAAACATGAATAAAATACTTACTTGTTGTACTCTAAAAACGTGGATAGTTTTATATCAATCTTTTTACAGTTACGTTTCCACACCTGTTAAACTTTATACATATTTAATAAAATAGTTAAAAAAAAGTACAAACTTTACAAAAATTTTGTATGCCAAAAATCCCAGTTCACATATCACTTGTGTATATATATTCTACTCAACACTCTATTTATGTTAACCTGAAAGCTAACAACTATTTTAAAACTGTTGATAAAATATTGATAGAGGTCATTTTCGCTAAATAGGTACATCGCTATGTTTAAAACTTAAAATAAACTACATTTCTTTTTTGCATTATTGAAATATAATGAAAAATACAACATCTCAAGCCGTGTTCTCACAGTCAAATATTTGTTTTGTATTTTGATTGATATTTAAAGGTTCTACGTTGTTTCAATTTGGTAACATCAAAGGAACGAAATTACAAAGATAATTAAAAGGCACGATTCACAAAATTTTAATTTATTATTAAAGTGAGCATCATGATTCCGTATCGATATTTTTAAATATTAATGAAGCTTAAGGGACATTGCATCTTAATGTTTAATTGATGTACCTCTTCTCATATATAAAGAGAAATGTAAAAGAGAACAAAGTTATAGTTGTGGTTTCACAGCAGCAGGGTTTATAAATTGTAAGTAATGTTGACGATTCATGTTTAATTTAATTTCAGAATTTATGCCTTTTAAATAAGTAGACATATGAAGGTTTATCTTGATGATATTACAAATACTGGCGTGGATTTGTTATATTTTTTTTTTACTTTGTAGAAGTTTTGCACGAAATCCAACTATATATAAATGATGATTACAATTTTAAATGTGTGATCTATAAATCTAGATAACTTTATTAATTAATTATCGTCTAAATTAATAAAATTAATGAAATATTATCTCCAGCTTCGTTAACTTCAAACGGATTGACATGGAACTTGAAGAAAACAACATCAAAATATGTCGTGTCACACTAAAAGTGCTCCACTATAGTCTAATGTGGCCACGCAAAAAATACGAACTAACTGGAAGCTGGAATTACGTCAAAATCGCCTTCTTTTTCTTAATACTTGTCCCATGGTGTTCGACAGTAATTATGCACCTCGTCATGGCTTTCAAGAGTAATATTTCTACGAACAATCAACTTTTTAAACCATTGTTCATTTTTAGATGATCTTAATATGAGCGAAGATGTTGCACTGACTTGCTGCTTTTGTGGTCTGAGCTACATGATATTTGCCTTTGTTAAAAACCAACCAAAAACTGCTTCTCTTCTTCGAGATTTATCAAATTTCAAAAAATTTGGCATGCCACCTGGATTTGCAAATCTTGACAAAACTCTGAATTTTGGGTCTCTGTGTGCTTATTTGTACACAGCACTCGGGATAGTCGCATACTGTTCGGCAAAGACAATTAATCAACCAGAATGTAAGAAAATTAGCAACAGAAATGGAGTAAAAGAAATTTGTGGATTACCAACTGCAGTTTGGATTCCTATCGACGTTAATTATTTTCCAATTTTTCAATTGGTTTATTTTTACATTTTTGTGAGTATGCAAATGTTTCTTAAGGCAGCTTTAATGATTTCGTATATGGTACTGGAAATTACACACCATATGGTTTTGAGAATCAAACATTTAGAGCAACTTATTTTTGATTGTTTTCGAGATGAGCAAGACTGTGAGATACAGAGAAAGCAGTTTGCGAAATGCATTTTGTATCATAAAGAAATATTAGAGTGAGTATTATATATTTTATAAATTTTTTCTCAGTGTTTTAAATCATGGTGATTTTAATCTATTGGTAGTAGGAGCAGCCATACAAAACTTACTAAGAATTCGTTAGCTAAAGTCGGATAAAAAATTCCATGTGAGAATCAAAACTTGCAAACTTGCATGTACC